GGGGGAGGCGAGGGCAGTAGTGCCCCTCTGCAGGCTGAACCCGGGGGGGAGGGGGGGGCTCACATGCGTAGCTGCTGCCGCCACTGCCACCCACCTGAGCCACTTCCTCACAGCCAGTTGCACGTGCAGTTCCGCAGGCTACTGATGGGCCTTGCACCTCGCCAATCATGCACTGCTCATCAGCAGCCTGCAGAGCTGCATGTGAGGCCAGCTGCGGGAAAGTGGTGAGGAGTGGTGGGTGGCAATGCGTGCAAGCCCCTCCACCCCTGTCTGGCCGGCACATGCACGGCCCACAGAGGGGTGCTGCTGCCCTTGCCCCCCAGCCCTGCTCCTGGGAGCAGGCACAGAGAACGAGCTGAGGTGGGGGGCGAGGAGGTGCTGCAGTGTGCTGTGTAGAGCCGGTGGTGCCTGGTGCGTCCCTCCCCCAGGTAAGAAGCAAAGTATGGGAATGCGCCAGGGGAGGCGTCACCGCCATTCCCCAGGGAGCACTCTAATCCTGGCCAGCTGCCCGCTCATGCATACCCGCTATGACCTTTCTAAGTACCCCTAGGGGTACACCTACCCCTGGTTGACAACTCCTGCCTTAGAATAACATAATTTATTGGACCAACTACATAGTTGGGATAAAGTTAGACAAGCTTTCACATACAAGATGTTTGCCATCAGTTCTCTGATCACAGGAAGTCAGAAGCAGCATAACTGATCCAATAAAAGATATCACTCTAAGAAATTCTTGCCTCTCACATATACTTGTGGAATAAAATTTCAAAACTAGTTGTTAATCATTAGTTTCAGTCATTTACTATGTAAAATGGCTTTTATTAAATTGGAATAGCTCCTAGATTTTTGTGGAGCATGTGTCATGAAAATCAATTCACAGGAAGTTTTATCCTCATCCCAATTTGAAAGAGATCTTCAATTCACTGGCTAGTTAACAGTGGAACTGACTGGGGAAAAAAAATGCAGGCAGATGGTTAAAAAAACCATGAAGAAATGGCTCTTTAGGGCAAGACTAAAGAAAGCGATGGAAATTTACACAATTTAACGTGAAAGAAAGGTCTCTCTTAAAGGTTTTATTTTCACCTTAGAGAATTTTATTTAGGCTTTTGCTTTTAGTCCTGTTCAATGAGAAATAGCAATACTTTAATCCCCTTCTAACTGAGTAGCATCATTTTATTTCTAAACTGTTTGCATCACATTCTTCAAATTTGTTTTTCTGAAGGATCTGAATAAAAAGGAAGTCAAAACCTTTTGGTTTTCTTTATTACTACTTTTACTTTCCTTCTTTGTGATGATGTATTGGTAATAAAAGAAATACTGTACATACCTTGAGCGATTGCAACAAGCTTTCCCTTTTCTTCAGGGCTGAGCTGCAACATGGTATCTATTACTGGCAACAGCCTCTCTCTTTCACTTCCTGATTTCAGAAATATGAATTGCAGCAGAACATTTTTCAAGTATTCTAGATTAGCAACAGATTTCTCTCGCTCTTGGTTCCTTTCCAGTCTCCTTATTTCATTCTTAAGAAGCTGCAGACACAAAGAAACCTTTAAATATTATTTACTTGATTTTTATAAATATGATCAGATGAAGAGTCTACTTGGAGGAACACAGTATGTATGAATTAGGCAATATGGCACTGAACATGTGTATCTATAAAGAATGAGGTATTCTGGGTGGAAGTCCCAGGGGACCTAGAGATGGCAGAATATTCTCTATACCTGTATTTTATCCAGGCCTTTGGAGAAAGTCCAGAATTCATTTAACCTCTTTAGGATTACTTGAACACCTTTGTGTAGGAGTTTTATAGTAAAAGGTTATAAGGAAGAGTTGTCAATATTTTACTACTTGGTTTTTTACATGATTGACTACAAAACACTTCTGTGGATTTTAGATCTTACTGTATATGTCCCCACCATGCTTTTCTGAGCATAACAAGCAGAAGGGATCCACTCTGGCTACTTACAAACTGCAACAGTACAAACACCCAAATTATTAATCACAGAAACTGATAACATAAAATGAAGACCCTCCCACCCCTTACCCCAATAGACTAGTTATTACCATGCTTGACAAGGAAGTGGAAAACAGGATTTTGGCCCCTGCAGCCAGAGAGGATTTGAACTTATCTCCCACTACCTGGCAAAACTGCTTCTATTTCCAGGCCATGGGCACTGCCAGGAGCACCCTCTAACCATCATGTTGAAGCTGGACCCCTGGGCAGCCAAAAGGGGAGGCATGTGGGGCCAGAAGAACAAGTCAGAAGGAGCCTGGTTCTGTGGCTTGATGAGTCAGACACTGCCATGAAAGAGAAGAGGCCCTGGGTTCTGGCCCTTGCCTCTGCTCCTTCCCATCCCCTGCTCTAAATCCATTTTACCTAATGAAGAAATATCAATGGGGCCCTCCCCTTCCCCCTCCTCAAGCACCAAACACTAGTCATGTTTTTCTGCACCTAACAGCTATGTGCCGTCCTGAGTGGAATAGGAGTGTAACAGAGTTTGCACTGCCAGAACAGATGCTTTCTGAACATTTCAAAATGGCAAGAGGAATTGTGCAGTTAAAAGGAGAGCTGAATTTGGTCCTGCAACTTTATGACTCTATTGGGCTGTTTTAGTTATAGAAGTAAGGGGAGGGGAAAGCAACAACCAAAAAACAAAACAAAACAAAACAACCCCCCAACCCCCCCAAACAAACAAACAAACAAACAAACCAACCAACCAATCCTTCAACACAGATCAAATGATCTAAAATAAAGTTAGATAAGAAACACGTTATATTAGCTCAATATTCAAGCCCCCAGGCAATCTTAAGCTCAATGAATATTTACATCCAGGATCACTTAAGACACTAAAAGGCAATAGAGACAAAAGCAGCCTTGTAGGGAA